CGGCTCAACTCGGCCCCGTTCGGCTCAACTGGGCCCGGTTCGGCTCGACTCGGCCCGGTTCGGCTCGATTCGGCTCGACTCGGCCCGCTTCGGCTCGGTTCGGTTCGGCCCGCTTCGGCTCACCTCGGCTCGGCCCGGTTCATCCAGGCCACCCCGCCGCTCCCCGCGCCCTTCCGGCAGCCCCGCGTCACTTCCGCCGGGCCGAGCAGGACGAGATGGCGGCGCTGGGCGAGCCGGTGCGGCTGGAGCGAGGTGAGCGCGGCCGCGSCCCGGACGGGCGCTCCTGCCGCCCTCTGCTGCGGGCGGGCGGTTGGCGGTGGTGGAGCCTCTGGCCTGGCCCCCGTTAGACACCCTCAGCCTGTCCCGATTCCCTGGCCGGCTATCCCCGTGCTGTGGCCCGGCCTGAGGCGGCGGCGCGGCGGGAGCGGTGGCAGCGGTGACAGCGGTGTCCGTGCCGCCCTCCCCCGTCCTTCCCCCAGGCTCCCTGGATGAGCAGGAGCTCTGCTCTAATCTCTTCTTTAGCCGCTCCTCTCCGCCGGGCCGCTTTGAACAGCTGATCTGATTTGAACGGGTTTCCGTCGCTTGTGGCTCTGCCAGCGCGTCGGTGAGACCGATCTTTGCTTCGGTTCCTCTGCTTTATGCAGCCCCCAGAGATTTTTGTCGCGTTTCTGTTTTTACGGCTGAGTTTGCATGGGTGCACACTCGCCCGAGGCCTTCTGTAGATGTGTCTGCTCTGCCTTCACTGGTGTCAACGCTTCTGCCAGGTTTTTTCAACCTGCCGTCTTTTGGTTTCTTCTTCTCTAATGGGAAAACTTCATCTTAAAGACAGCAGAATTCTTAGAATTTTAAGTTCGGTCTGTTAGCAAAAAGAATGTACTTATTTTTATAGAAGACAGCTAGGATTCCTTCCTAGACACAAGGATTCCTCTACACTTGTTCGTGACCGTCCTCTATTAGCCTCTCATGTTTATGTTTACACTCAGTTTTTCCACTGTATAATTCGTGTTGTTAAAACGTGCAGTGTGTAACTGAAATTAGGAGCAAAACAGATGAAATAGAGATCCTAGCTGGGTATTTTTCTGTARTATGTTTGTGGTGGTTATCCAGAGTTTTTAAGAAACAATTATACATTTCCTTCAGTGTGATTCTTTGGTTCTGTGTAAGGTCTACACATCCTTATATTAAAATGYAGATGATTAGTTTATTGGTATGTATTTAAGACAGCAGGGATTGGAAAATGAAGTTTAAATGGGAAAAGATTACTGATAATTAGAAATCACGTTTTTGAAAAGGAAAACAACTAGATGAAGTACAGGTGATTGAGTGATCTGACTTTTGTCACCATTCCCCTTAGGTCCATCCCTTTTGCTCATGATGCTGGATCCTTTTTTGTGAGGTGTATAATACACTGTGCATGGTACTATATTATCAAGCTACCTACCAAAAAAACTCAGTTTCTCTTTTTTTGCTAACCCCACTTCCCATTCCACAAGTGAACCCCTTGTAGTGTGTGAGAGTTGACCTGCAAACAGTGACTTATGTAAGGACTTTGTTTCCCACTACTCTCTCTGCTCTAAAGCTCATTAATTAGGGCAGCTGCTTTGGCAGTGGATTAGTTGCTCCGGGAATGTCTGTGGACTTAAAACACAAGACTTAAAACTCAGGCTCTGTCCTTSTTCACCTCATTACCCTGCCACTGTGCTCTGTCCATGAAAACAAACAAATCTGCTGAGTTGTGTAGGGATCAGTGAAACAAAGGAGCTGTTTGGTTTTCGGGCATGTTGGTCTTTTTAGGAAAAGAAGAAAAAGGGAGCGCCTTATAATGGACCTACAAAAGCAAGAGCTTTATTTACAAATAATTTATTTACAAGTAATTTAATTTATTTACAAGTAATTTAATTTATTTAGAAACAAGTAGTTGTTAATTATGTGGGGTTGAGTGTACATAACCTGATGAGGATCATAATCAGCTTGAAAGTGAAGGTCACTAATGTTGACATGCAGCATAAAAAAAGAGAGAATAGTGTAGAAAATGAGCTGGTTTAAAATCATTACCTTACACCACCAGTCAAATTCACTAGAGGGCAGGAATGAAACAACAGTTAACATTTCAGTTATTACAGTTTGGTGGTGACATGTGATAACTCCACATACAGCTTAGGAGTCTAGACTACTGAACATAAGCAGCAGGGGTGATAAATCAGGAGTATCTATGAGGATGCTGCATTTTTTCTGTATTTTGCTCACACATGCTTGGAGTGGTAGTATCTTACTGGCTTTTTTTTCCCACATTCCTGTACTTAAATGTTTCTTTTTTTCAGGATTTCAATCTGGTATCCATGATCACAAAAAAATGATTTGTGAATAACAGGCAATTGGTATAAAGGATTTGTTTCCAGTCGATGGATGACCAGTCTGTGTGGTTAAGTTATACTTTGTTTAATCAACTGCACCATCTGGTCTTGGTTTAGTAGTTTGTAAGATGTCTCTGATTATTCATGTGAGTGGACAGAACATCACTCTGGGCTGTGGCCTTGCTGGTGCACCTCACCCTTGTTTCAGAACGTGCACCACACTCCCTTTTCATCCTGTTATATAAGTGCTTCCTTTTTAAACCCATTTTAGAAGAAGTTCTTGTCTGTTGTACATCCTCTGTGCTGACGTGATGCCATTGAGTAAATGTGCATTCACATGAAAAATGAGTACCTAGAGGTTAATTACAGAAAAAGGGAAGTAATCCATTTGGGACATAGCAGTGTCCCAGACTTCATCCTGTTCTGTCTGCTTTTCTGAGAGACTGTTCTACTTCTGTTCGAGAACTTGTACATTTGAGAATCATCACTAATGTAACACTTGGGAAATGCCAGTGAGGGATGTGAATGTATTCTACTCTTGTAGCGCTGCCAAGAGAATGTCACATTGAATTTGATGCCTGTCTTGAGTCATATTGGTCTGGAATCAAATCCTTCATGGAGTTCASTTTCACAAAGCGGCATTTGTGGGAAAATGGACAATGTGAACTCTTCAAAAAAAATTTCAAGGAACTGAAAGAGATTTGGGGTTCAGGATTCTAGACTACAGGCGTATTGTCTCTTAGCTGARTATATCAAAAGGAGTTCTGTTGGTTTTATAAGCACTTCAGGAGGGAAAAAAATACCCCAGATTGTTCTCAGCGCTCTTCTGTTCAATACCTTATTGAACTAATTTTTGAATATAAAAGGAATGATAGCATATTTGCTRATATTATAGCTGGTGTTAACAAAATGTCATTCATAGAGTAGATGAACTATACACTACCAATGTTTTAATATGCACTACCAATATTTCAGTCCTTTGAGGAGAAAGGGGATTGGCTTTGTAATATGCATATGGCATATAGCTCCAGATATGCGACAGGGTTGGGTTGCTATAGTTGATTTATAACAGGCTGAAAGCATAATGTTTTACTGTAGCATTTTGTAAATACATCATTTTACGGATAACAAAACTTTATGCATAGTTTTAAAGTGTATGCAAACACACGTAGAGTGCTCCATTAACCTAATTTAAAAAAAAACAAGCCCCAAACTTACCTTGAGATTCCTCAGGGATTCCTCAYYACTAGTGCCTTTTTTTTTTTCAGACATCTGCAGAGCAATTGAATTGCTGGAAAAATTACAGAGAAGTGGAGAAGTGCCACCACAAAAGCTGCAGGCATTGCAAAGGGTCCTTCAGAGTGAATTCTGTAATGCTGTAAGGGAGGTAAGTTAACTTGCTGTAAGCAGTTACTTTCAGTCAAAGACCAGTATTTASTTTTTCCTTTTTGTGCTCAGTGCAGTAAGCTGATTTTGAGCTTTGTAAAGCCATTTGATTTACTGGGCTTAATAGAGCAAGACTTACTTTAAAATAATTTCAAAAGCAAGTAATATGGGACAGCATAGGTTTATAAAATTTTGGTTTACTAGCAAATTACTTCTTAAAGGTTGTTTTGAGAGTCTGTCCTTWCTGGCAGCTAACAGGATATTATCCCCTTGGTATGTAAGAATAGACAAAGTACCAATTGYCTGTGTTCTTTTTAAGCCAAATCCATATTTAGGTGGATCCTTGAGCCACCTCATCTTCATTCCAGGTATTCTTTTGGAGACTTGTGGGTGATTGGATATGCCTTGCTATTGCTGTTGCTGATGTTAATACTGATGACAACAGCTGGAATGATGTTAAAAAAAATCTGTAGAGACAGGTGTTATCTTAATGTTTTCATCCTCTTGAGGGCAGTGTGTTTATTGCTTAGCAAGTACRAATGGCTGGCAGGGAGATGTGAAGATGTGGGTTAGCCTTCAGTGCAAGCGTCTCTTTAACATAATATTCTTGTTGTGTCTGTATTTTTGATTCTGTACATTTTTTAAGATTTGATTAGGTGCTAAAGTTGAAGGAAAATTTGGGGGTTTGTGGGGAGGGATACATTGTCAGGAGAGCCTTGAGGAGCTGCCCTTTAGTGGTTTTGCATGCATCCATATTGAAGAGTTCCAGCTTGAATCAAACAAGAGAAAAAAGTTAACATGCCTCGAGTCAGTCGTGCGAGCCTGGCCATAAACATTTCCAAAGTCATGGTGAGCTCTGAATACTGTGGAAGGGGGCAAGATTTAGGTTGAGACTGAAAATAGAGATGCTGAGAGATCTGTTTCTTCACAGAGTATTGGATTGCCTCTTGTAGTCCATCAGGGAGTAACATTAGAGATGTGTACTTCTAATTTACACATTTTTGAGTTGCCTGATATTTTGTTATATTACCTGAGCAGAAAAATACCTGTTTTCCTCATRCTGAAACTGTTTTGTCTCACAAAGGTGTATGAACACGTGTATGAAACTGTGGAYATCAGCAGTAGCCCAGAAGTTCGAGCTAATGCAACAGCAAAGGTAAARGCCAAATTATAACTTCATAAAATAGAGTAGTTCATTATTTGAGAAGYGGAAGATTATATAAAATTCAGAAGGATATTATCTGGATGCCTGATAAAATGGATAAGCGTAACAGGCATAACAAGACTTGTTATTTTTAAATTTCTTCCGTTCTAATTTTATTCTTGGAGTTTTGAACTTTTCATGCTACTATTAGTATGCAGGGAATTAACTTCATTTGTCTTAAGATTTAAGTACTTTGAGATAAAATACATTTTCAGGCTGCTCACTGTGTCTGGCTAAAGGAACTGTATTTAATTCYTTATAAATGAGAAAATCTCATTTCTCACAGGCCACAGTAGCTGCATTTGCTGCCAGTGAAGGTCATTCTCATCCCAGAGTGGTTGAACTACCCAAAACCGAAGAAGGTCTTGGATTCAACATCATGGGAGGCAAAGAACAAAATTCTCCAATTTATATCTCTCGAATTATCCCTGGAGGTATAGCTGACAGACATGGAGGCCTGAAACGAGGAGACCAGCTGCTTTCTGTAAACGGAGTGGTAGGAACTGGTTTTCTCTTCTCTTTTTGTAGCAGTAACTACTTGTTTCCACTTGAGGGGGCACAGAGAATACACATGGCACAAGCTCATTGCTGTCGTCAAATCTTGGCAAAATACTTTGTTTTTGTCCTCACAAAACCARTTGGCTTAGGTTTCTGTAGAGTTGTGTGCATTGGGAGTTTTAGGATTATGCTGTCTCAAAAAGGAACTGTACTATCTATGTCAGTATTTCAGATTCTGAGGGGTTGTATAAATGTAGTCAAAGAATTTTGTGAAATAMTAGCTGCTGTTACAGCTTCCTTTTTCATTGAAGTTTCATGATGGAGATTTTTGCTAATAGAGTTTTCTGCACCTTCTGAGGTAAGTAGTAAATTRTGCTGTGATGCTTTTGGCTGACTAGATTCTCATTTTTCCCAGTAAAAATGCTACTGCATGATGGAAGCTGTAATGAGGTAGAACTGCAAGGTGGTGCTACCTTGTGTGGTATTTTTCCTTCCACTTAACTATACTGAGYTTCAGAAGCAGGCTTTTTACTTTATTTTAAGAGATACATGTCTGGAGTGCTGATGTGGAATTTTTTAAAATAAATACCCTCTTCTGAAGAATTAACAATACAAAAAGTAAATCAAAGGGAGGCTGGACACATGAGGTTATGGGCAGGGATTAACTTGAGACAGCTTTCAGTCAAATGCACGTAAATATCTCCCAAAAACTTGCTTTTATTTACAGACAGGTTCTATGCAGGCTTAAGATTCATATTCTCATTATTACATCTGTAAAGCAAGTTTTATTTTAAGACTGAGGGTCAAACTACGTTCTTGGTTTTTTGACATGTGAAAGGAATGGTGACTGTGTACAGATTCTGGGCATCTGTAGCATAAATCTCTGACATACTTGGCTCCTGACTATTACCTGGGAGTCCAGCTGTCCTTTTCAAAGGACATAAAAACCTGAAGTGATGCAACTGTCCTTGCCTTAGTCTTCTGTTATTAGGAAACATTGAGGGACTGGTTCTAAACTTCAGATGAGTCCTTCCTCACCCACAGACTCTTAAAGACAGCAAAACCACCACTCCTCCCAAAACTGAACCTGATYGTCAGGCAGCTGGTCCAGCTAGTAATGACTCTGTATGCATGTACATTATAAATGTGCATTGTAAGAATACTGTGAGTTCATGAATTGCTGTTAAGAACACTCAAAAAAGTCATTGCCATCTGGTATTTACAGATGGAATCCTGTCATCATAATACATGAAGGACATTTTCTTGTAGTTGCAATTTATACTTTAACAATAATAATAATAGTAATAAATGCCACTGCCAAGACTCTCAGGGAGCATAACTGAAAAACAAGTTTATTTGTTTCAGGTGGGAGATGTTGAGTGTATTCCAAAGTTTTAGGTGTTTTGATATAATTAAACAGAACTCTACGAATCTTTTATTACCAGTTTTAAACAGAACAGCCTACACATCCACTTGAATAACAAAACTGAAAACATTCAAATGTATGTGTTGTCWAAGTCTGATAGAAGAGAAATAACTTGGGTTTTTTTTTAACTGTTGTTTTTCTTTCTGTAAGTAACTCTATAGTAACGGGGAAACCCTCCAATCAACAGGTACATCACCTGCCTTCTAGCTTCTAATAGCACCAGTGGGAGGTAGGCTTGGAGTAGTCCCGTCATTGTGTTTAATAAGTTTGGGAGAAATAAGTTTCACTGATAAATTATATGCTGTCCAGGAATGTATATTTGGGTGCAGTTTTGGAGAAGCATTGCTTAAAAATCTATAATTAGATGAATCTAACGTAATCCTAAGAAATTCTGAGAGTTGTTTTAGGAAAACATTTTTATTCTGGTCTTCCTGAGTTGGGTTAGGCTATTCTTAATCAGTTTAGAGGAAATGAACTTGAATGTCTTGCATTTGCTGAGAGACATGTGGAGCACTAAGATAAGCAACACACTGCATGTTGGCTGCTCCATTGCAAGCACCCAATATGCACTGGTTTGCTTTGTTGTGATGCAGGGTAACATCAAGAAGGCAGCTACCCTGCAGCTGTCTGTGGCAACTTATTAAGCAGATTGAGGGTGACTACTAAATTTAAATTGCATGCAAAAGAAGGAAAACAGTATTAAATTTTAAGTAAGTATTCTCCTGATTTTTACGCAGAATTTCATAATTGACTGTGGTTATCCTTGCAGGATTAAACTGTTCAGCATAAGCCTAAACAAAATTCTGGCACTATTCTTTTGCTAATACTAATTAGTATTTTTATCATCACCTCAGCTGGTTTGCTGAAACAGAAGTCCTTACACAGACTTGAAAATAGAATACATATAAATAAATATGTAAACATATGTGTCTATACAGAATTGTACAAAAAAAACCGAGAAAATCTGTTTTCTGTACTTGTCTTTACTAATACTGAATGGTTTATTCTTTACAGAGTGTTGAAGGTGAACACCATGAAAAGGCAGTGGAACTGCTGAAGGCGGCTCAAGGAAAGGTTAAATTAGTTGTGCGATACACACCGAAAGTCCTGGAAGAAATGGAGTCGAGATTTGAAAAAATGAGATCGGCAAAACGCAGGCAGCAAAATTAACAATGTATGCAATAACTTATAAAGAAAATACATATTCCTTTTACATTTTATAGTTTCTTTGTGACTCAGTTGATCCAATGCCTGTTGTAAGACACCCTGTCCTTTTCATAGACTAGTGGAAGGATTGAGGTTGGAGGGACTAGGTCTAGTCCACCCCCCASTGCCCCAGCTTAGAGGAGGGCCAGCTAGAGCAGGTTGCTCAGGAGTGTGACAAGCTGGTTTTAAACATCTCTAAGGATGGAGACTCCAGAAGTTCTCTGGAYAGTCTGTTCTAGTGTTTTGCTCTCCCTTATACTATGAAGGTCTATTCCTATATTTAARTGGAGCTTCTGGTATTTCCACTTGAGCCTGTTGCCTCTTGTCCAGTCCCTGGATGTACTGGGAAGGGCCAGGCTCTTCATTTGCTCCTCCTTTTCACACATTTACAAAGATTGGTGAGATCACCCGAGCCTTCTCTTCTCCAGGCAAGGGAGACAATCCCAGTTCTCTCAAGTTCTTGTCTATAAGATACTCCAATCACTTCATCGCCTTTCTGGCCCTTAACTGGATTCATTCTTCTGTGCCCATTTCTGTACTGAACTGGGGAACCCAAAACTGGACCCAGGACTYGAGTTGTGTGTCACAAGGACTGAGCAGAGTGGAAGTATCCCCTCCCTCAGCTTGCTGGCAATGCTCTTTCCAATGTAGACCAGGAGATTGTTGTGCTTTGCTGACAGGGCACATGGAGGCTCATGGCTTGCTGTTCTCTGCCAGGCTGCTCAGTCCCCCAGTCTGTACTGGTGGGCAGGGTTATTATTCCCCCCAGTGCAGGACTTTGCACTTTCCTTTGCTGAACTTTGAGACTCTTGTTTGCCCATTTCTTCAGCCTGCTGAGGTCYCTTGGAATGGTTTGCTGAGTGTATGATCTGTCCCATCCCCTGGGTTGACTATGGACCCCAGTACAGGCCTGGGGTGCATTGGTAGTGGCTTGCATCTGTCAGGACCTTTTGCCATTGATCMCAACAATCCTCAGCAGTTCAGCCAGCTTCAGAATGTTTTCARTCTCCTTAGGTTTCAGTTTAGGAGGAATGTGTAGATTTAGAATGGCCTAAAATGCTCTGTAAAAGCATCCTTGATGATATTTCTATTGATTTTTTTAATCAGTTTTATGTCAGACTTTTAAGCAAGAAAGTGAATTTACAGATTTTTCAGAAGATTTTTCAATAAGACATACTTTTGCAATCAGCATCCTTTTTTTTCCTATTTTCTTTTGACATAGCATAGAATCTGCAGGGTTTTTTCTGAATGATTTTTGAAAAAAAAAAAAAAGATTCTTATGTAGCAGTATTTTGGCACTTTTCTTAAGAATATGTTGTATGTCAACTACAAAACCTAATCATGATCTACTGTGTAGCTGATAACGATACCAGATTTTGTAATGTTTTGGTGAGTACATTGTTTTTACACTTCTGCTAAATTATAATTCACTACTCTGGAAATTGTATTACCTCTSCTGTAAATAATTTACAGTTGGTGTTCTCATATAATGGTTTTGTAATAGCCAACCTTTACAAATTTGCAACAATCATTCCTGTAATTTACATTATTTTGTACTAATTTTAAAGCAGTTAAGGGGAAAAATGTTGTATGCAGTTCTGGATTGACTCTCTAGATGTATTTTTATACTGAGAAACAAAAGATATATAAATGCAAMAGAATTTCAGATGTTCCCCTGACTTTCTGCTGTTTAAAAGAATTATTAATTGTCATACCATTCTTTCTTTTTAGCATCTTCTATTGTAGTCTTATTTACACATTGAAKGTATTGGTCCTGGAATTGTTAGTACCTAAATTACTGATTGTTACTGTTATRGGAGTAACATGTTCTGAGTCTTACATGCCAGGTTACTGTGACATGGGAACTTGTCTGAGCTTTTATTACACTGCTTCTGAYTTGGGGGATTCCTGTTTGTGCTACRGAAGAATTACATCACTGTTGCTAAATAAGGGCATCTCCATCTATAAACAAATGTCTTATCTCATGTATGCTCAATGGTGGCATGGGTTTTGTGTGCCATTTTGAACATTTCTGGACAGAGATYCACTTTTTGGAATCTACCACATTTGATGCTGTACTTGTGTAGTTTAGGTTTAGGGTTTGGGTTGGGTTTTTTTTTAAGCTTCACCTTTTGAAAAATTAACTTTGTTGTCTACTGGGTGTCAGTTCACTTGTATGGCAGCTATGAGTGCATCCTAATTGACTGTTAGTAATTTGATTTTTTTAGAGGCTTAGACTGAAAAGTGCAGTTCTTGCTATGTGGCTAATCCCTAGTCTGATTTCACATGAAGCAATATGTGAAAGAAAGGAAAAGGCTAGCAATCTAAAAATGACAGCTTGAAGGTTGTGCGTTGTCAGTTGATCTATTTGAATAGAAAAACATGTGGTTGCTACAGGCAAGTGAGAAATGTGATTGCTTTCTGCATGTTGTAAGCATGGTAAGCCTGCAAAGAGAAATTTGGAAGATACTGGTAATTTGGAAATGCAGTATAAATATTTATCAGTTWGATGACATTGAGCACTGAATTGCATGGTTGGTTTTATGTCATAGGCCTCTTTCAAAAGGCCTCATGTTACTGATACAACCATGTTGTTGAATTGTATATTTTTATGGAACAACTAATGTTTAAAGTATTGAGACCAAAATCATTAGTTAGASCAATTGTGGATGTGTTTTAATTTAATTGTTAATTAGTAAAGATATGTTTTAGAGCCATATATAAATATATATATATATATATAAAACAGAAGGGTATGGATACAAGATAGGAATGTTTGTTTTACAACCTGTATCCCTTGTATTACTGAACRAGAGGTGTGTTTTGTTACTCTAATGAAAGATTGACTTTAGTGCAGCTTGAGMTGCTAAATGCAGTAGCATTTTCATTCTGAATTGTAGCATTTTGGTTATGTTTTGTCAACTGTGACAAAATGTGGGGAGGTGTATTCAGGCATATAAATAGTACATGTAGAATTTGATAAAATGTTTTTAAATTGCAATAACAAAATCAATAACAGACAACTAATTCATAATCATCTTTGATACTAGTAAGGAAAGGGTCAATTAAAATACACCGAGAAACTTGATCTGTGTTACTACTGAGCAGTGYCTGCACTGTGTTAMTRTGCAGACYCTACACACTTGTCATACTTGGGTATACAAACAGATTAAGAAGAGGTATCATTTCTGCAAGTAACTTCTGCATCTGTTGCTGCTGTGAGGGATCTTTGGGTTTTATCAACAGAAAAATAAAAGTTCAGTCTCACATGCATYGTGTTTGTGTGTTTTTCTTCCAATTTTCCATTTTGAGTACAGGTTTCAGACWGTTTCAATTGGTTGTTTATAGTCTTAGGGCATAACATAAAACACCTGCATGTGTGTGGGCATCCCAAGAGAGAAACTTTAAATCTGTCATTAGTTTGTCTCCTGGTTGCTTTTGAATCTTCCCTTTTCTACCCCAGTGTTTTGTGATTTGGTGGAGAAAATCAGAGTGCTATAAAGTATCTGTAAAAGTTTGAACCTTCATGTTTGAGACCTGCTTAGCTACATAAAGGATGCATAACATTCTGAGTCAGATAGAGCGTGGCTGCCATTAGTTCTTGGGTTGTTAGTATCATCTCTTTGCACCAGGGAAAGACTGAAGAGGAGAAAAGCTGTCAGGAAAAAAAATGGAGACCCAAGATCACAGTAAGGAGAAGACAGGTGCTGTTGCTTTTTTTTTTGCTGTGGTGCTCGAACATGGAGAAAACAAGCTCCTTCTCAAAAGGACCATTTCTTCAGTGGGAAATGTGTATAGAAAAGAGAAGCCCTGCAYCTAAGATAAAAAGCCTGGCCTTTGAGGACCGAACTGATCAGAAGCCAAAAAAGGGCAAGAGGCTTGGCCCCTCCTCACATCTGAAGCAAGTGGATGCTTAGAAGAAAYTGTGTTCTGGGGGAGATTTGAGAGAGTGGCCTTACCCTCAGAATGAAGCAGCTGGCCTTGGAAGACTGTTTCACTTTCTCCCACAAAGTGAAGAAAAAGAATCCCAAAACCAACAGCAGTTATACACTGACTGTTTCTTGGAAAAAGAACTTCCACAGCTTGGAGCTGTAAGAACTCTTCTCCTATGGTGCTGGACGATAACTGTAATGAGTAGTTTCATCTCTGTTAAAACTTTCATCCCTCCCCGCCTTGCACACGAGAAGGTGTGGAAAGGTGGGGAGGGATGACCTGGGAGAGACAGGTTCCTGGAAAGAATAACAGGTGTCTTAAAATGTCTGTTTTTATTTCTTCTCCTTGTAAATTTTTCCCTATCTGTGTTCCTCTCCCCGGTGCAGTAGTTTTTAATAGTTTTTAGCAATAAATCTACTTTGCAACTTAAGCTATTCAGCCTGTCTGACCATTTCTGGAGCATCTACATATCTTTCTCTCAATTATGTTATCTAAAAGCTAGACTATCCCAGTGTTTCAAAGCATGAAGAAAAAAAGAAAGTTCTGCTATTCTGCTTTTACTAGGGACCTTTTGTCAGAGAACTTCTGTGGGCATTACAGGGCGCCACTGCTGCTGTACAAAATAACCTCCACRCTACTATTTGTCTTCCAAAATCCAAGCAGGCACTGAGGGCCATTTCTGCTCCCATTATCTTTGGTTAGTGAAGTGAGACTACTTGCAGAGTGAGTATAAGCATTTCACTATTTTTCTTTGGCAGTAGTAGAAGAAAAAGGTCATTTTTTCTTAGAGGAATTGGTTTGGATCTGTTTTTTTGAAGTAAGTTGAGAGAACTCCTTTAAAATTTTTTTCGTCTTCTCTTGTGGTTGCTGCTCCTCCACTGCAATCCCTGAGTACTGCCATGGAGAGTGACATAAATGCACGGTGTCTTTGACCCTGACATTTCTCAGAACAACATGSCTTTGACAACAGCATTTCCCTGCCAAGATCAACAAGGGAGGACAAGAGATAACCGTATGTGTCTCTGTGGTAAAGCTTTAGCAYACATTAGTAGATGCAACTTTGAGAACTTCTATTTCTCACAAGGCACAGGACAAGCACGTGGCCTGTGATTAAAATGACCTTWCTTTTGCACTGATGCGTGATGATGTTCAAATAAAATCAGTACATCAKGAACAGGATTCCTAAATGCAAGGAAATAATATTTTTAATTACTGTGTAAAAKCATGTTAACACTTTTAGGAGAGTTAAAAGTTGAAAAACAATGAGAAATGTGAGATGGTGACTGAAGGGTCTGTATTTCCAGGGTCCTCACTGTGCACTCTACTTTCTTGGGCACAGATGATTTTAAGTCTTCAGGTGCCCACTAGTTACATGCCTGATTTTCAAATTTCACAAAATGCCCATTTTTAGCAAAGAGACTTTTGCTTTTTTTCCCCCACCTCAGCCAGCTCAAGAAAGGCATGATCAGCACAGACCTCAGCCCGGCATGGGGTGTCCTCTGGGATGTCAGTGTTGGGCAGGCAGTCCTTGGGAAGGTGAAGTGTAAGGTGTGAGCCCCTGGACTCCTGAGTGACCTGCACATGCCCAGGATTGCTATGAACGCTGTCTCTTCATTGTGTGTCTGGTGGGGGCAGGCTGCCTCAGCCCTGACACGTTTGTCTTGCCATGAATTTGGCATTTAGAATTTTTCATATGCAATTGCAGGAACTTGAAGTAACTGCAGCCAGGCCA